TTATAGTTTATTAAATCTTAAGAAGCCCTCAGACACTTTTGCTTGCAGATGTTGTGATTGCGGCCCCTTCGGGTTTAAGAGGTTTTAATGTGTTTACACATTAATATCTGATATATTACATTATATATATCATAATATATATGATATATATATATACATTATCAGCTATAATATTATAGCAATATCCTGTACAATTATGTGAAAACATGAATAAAACTACACATCTTCAGATGTTATACATACATAAGTGTCCTACACTAAGAATACAAAGTTATTATGGCATTGTATGCTGTGTTATTTGTAACATCTTCAGAAACTACCTTTCCAGCTATTTTTCTTTACCGTTCTGTTTTAATTTCACAATAAAGTTAATAGTAATATTATGTTTGATATAATTATAACTAAACTGGAAATTATACTGGAAAAGTATAATTTATTGTGTTAACACTGTAAACTTGACAGTTTTTTAACCCAGTGATTAAAGCACGTTATTGCATTTTTTTTGTTGAATATGTTATATTTGATGAAAACATTTGAATATTAAGAGTAGCCTAAATACAACATAGGGGGAAAGTAGAAGGTCAATGATAGAAATATAGAATAGAAAATATCAAGAAGATACTGTAGTGATCTCTACAATAAAACAGTTTAGTGCATTACGTCCAAAGATATTAATAGGAGGATGTGTAAAACAGACAAACTAATAAGGCTTTATTCAAACATTAAAGAATACTTTAAGTTAAGGTCTTCTTTTGAATAAGAACTGGGGGGGGGGAGTGCTAGTGGAGCATGCTCATCATGAACTGTGAAGCCTGTGAGCCTGGGCTGCTCTTCACGCTAACAAAGGATCCCTTCTTCTTCACGGCAGGGAAGGCTACAAAGTACGCAGGCTACTGTCCCGCAGCTGCTGCCTCTCTGTTGGACTCCGGTAGTGCACATTACTCACGAGACGTTTTTTTTTTTTAAAGCGCCTTACGTGAAACATTCGGGGCTTTTCAGAAAACATCCGGGGCTTGAGTCCAAGTAGCCACCCCCTAGCGCCGCCAGTAATGCAATAATATACTGGGTGATAAGTTATTCTGAAATGAGCCATTGGAGGAAGAAGTATGAATATAAAAAAAATAATTGCTCAAGATTGCACTAGAAAGGAACTTTTCACCACTTACTACGAATGTATTTTCTTAACTGAGTTACACATGCCAATGAACCAATGCAGTTTCAATGAAAGAATTATCCAATGTTGAAGAATCTTAGGTCATTATAGCATGTTGTTGAGTCTCATTTTAAATATAAACCATGTTCTAATTTATATAGTGAAGCTATTATTTTAGATTATTTTATCCGGCCAAGATGTGGCGCAGGGTTACCAGTTGGCAACAAATAGGGAAATGTCTTTAATCGCACACAATTTACGAGAGAGAAAAATAAGTTTAAGTTTAAGTCACACACTCATAGCTCTCAAAAGAACTGCAGAGTGAATCATCAAAGGAAAGCAAGAAGTCACAGGGAAAGGCAGAGCTAATGATACAGGTATGTAATCACATTTAATTATATGTGTGGTAGGGAATTACTGTCTTGTGGCAACCATCTCCTTTAGCCTAAAAATGAAATCAAAGTATAACCTCTTCAGTAAGTTCAGGTTTGGAGAGCAGGTCTAAGGTTATCATTCCTTAATGCCACATAAGTACAGAAAGATTAAAAAAAGAACCACATCATAACCTATTTTCTGGCTTCTTCTTTCACTTAAACTTATTTTTTAATTTGTGATAGACGTGAAAAAACACAAAGCGCTTGTTGTCCTGCACTCATGCTGTCCTCTGCCAAATTTCCAAAACATTTGAACATTTTCCTTTATTTTTCATACCTTTTCAATTAAAACCACATATTGTCTCTTAAGGTCCGACGAGAATGCTTCATACATGTCTCCCTAAGGCAAGTGCTATATACTTTTGCTTGTTTAAATCAACGAGACCAACAAAAACCCTGCAGAATGGATACAAATGAGCTTTTTAGTCCAAAGACCTGGCCCCTAGATTGGAGAAACACAGTTTTTCCTCTTTGGTGACTTGATTTCATGACAGATTCACTTCCACCATGCAGACATATTTTACATGACACTGACATCTCACATTGATGGTCATTAATCTTGATACCTATGTAGGAGCAATGGAAAGCCATTTGTTTAATGTCACAAACTGGAGCCAGGATGCTAAAAATCCACAGGGACCCCAGTGAGATGGAAAAGGTACTGTATTCACTCCAATACAAATATGAATTATGTAAGTATACACACCATTATTCTTTTACATTTTACATATTTGACTTATTTGTCATGTATGTTTTTGTTTTGTGTGTCTCCTGTTAGGTCCTTGGCAGGTAACAGAGTAGGTTTTTTTTACAAAAATTATGTGTCTGTTTCTGCTAGAGAAAACAATAATGACCTTTAAGATGCGAAAAGGTTCTGCAGATCTGATGGAAACTTCATAACTCTCTGGAAGTGATTTGTGTCTTAATACGTGAAGACTACAACTTATTCTGTTTCTCTTGCACTCTAACATGCACAAAAAGCATACACTCGCCGATACATAACAACATACAATATTTGTTTCTGTTTTGTTTATCTGAGCACCATGCTACACACACTTAAACATGCAGAAAGAGCATGAATAGAGGTCACGTCCACCCTCTCTCACTTCTGAGTTAGGTAGATTTTTGTGATGCAGTCAAGTTTTTGTGGCGTGCAAAGAACAGCTTAGATGTCACCATATATCTTCCTGATCTCTCTGGCTCCACTCTGGCCTCTTGCTACCTTTAGGTTTTACTTAAAGCACCACCAAATGTCTAATTTAGAGCCAGGCTTATGGAAATTGGACTTAATATACTGCTTGCCTTTTCTCCCAGAGTGCCTTTACATCCTCTCCCTAAATGGGGGACATAATTCAAAAGAAAAGGTGTTTGGCCAAAGCCAGAGGGCTGAAAAATGTGTGTTGAACATGTGACGTGACATCTTGCTCCAAAACAAATGTAAAAATTGAAGTATGTCGGGATTTTTCCAGCAGATTGTGCATGTACAACACTTTTCATGTAGAATTGGCAGTTTAGGCACAGCTCGACTTCTAGCAAATTAACTGGCTTCAAAAAGACCTTATTAATGTCTTGGATTTGTTAAGACTTTTACTATAACAAATGACAGTTCAATCCAATATATAAAATCCTGTTTTCCAAACAAACAAACAAAGTGCCATTACAGAGAGAGAAAACATCTTCTGTTTTTAAGCCCCATCTTCTGTTGTTAACAGGCTTTTTTTTTCACGAAAATGTTGTCTCAGGGCTTCTTGAAATGTAATAAACTATGAATGTGCGATACTCACTTAACGGGAAGAAATTAAGGCTGGAGCCACACGAGGGCGATAACGCAAACGGACTGAAATCGATATCAAAAAAGTATTCCGTCCACACGCAATATAGGCACCAGAAACGTGTCCGTTCAGACGAGACCACTTGAAAGGGCTGGAGACGCTGTAGTACATATGCCGGGCCTGTAAGTGGCGCTGTACTCCTGCCACAAAAGCAGCGAAGAAGACTTCCCGCGCATGGTTGCCATGGTTGTCCTACTGTTTATTTTCCGCTGTGGACAACCCGGTATCACAGCAAGACGTGAACATGTAACGATTTACCATGCTGGGAGACGTGAAGATGTCACGATTTCGTCCCTTCTAACGTGACAGTTATACGGTATTGTTAACATGGCCCAACCAGTGGAAAAATACCCGGAAATGCAAATGCTACACCGACGGTCGGTTGTTATTGTCATTGATTTATTTTTTAATAGTCACACTCGATTTCGCCGATTTTCTTGTTGCCCCAGCTGGTCGACACCTCTTTTAGCAGAAACAAAGGCTATATTAATGTATTAAATCGATGTTAATCCATGTGTGTGTTTGCGGAATTAACGGACGTGACGTTGTGCGATTGCGTTGCCGGGTAACAGCTTCGGTTCATGTTGATTTACAAACTCTTCAACTAGAACCCTAGTTATATTTAAAAACATTTTAGAAGGCCTCACAAAATACTTTAATGCAATTTAAAATGTAAATGTGAAGGAATGTGTGTATAACTAAATACACCCGTCATAAACAATACCGAAAACAGATGTAGGCAAGATCCTCAGCTCGCTGATTGGATGGTTTAGCCGCAAAGCACGCTGTACATCTGTTTTCGGTATTGTTTATGACGGGTGTATTTAGTTATACACACNGATATTAATACTTGTACTTTCCTTCGTGTTAAAAGCCATGGTTCCATAGTACTGGATCCCACTACATCCTCAGAATACGAATATTGGACCCTTACATATTTACGTAATTTCAATACTCAAACAACTAACTCGTCTGACAGCTTCAGTTACTTGCCAAAACGGAAGCAGAAAAGTTTTGTTATCAATTAAATTATATACGTATAAATTGAAAATATTGAAAATAACATAAATTAGATTGAGGAGGAATTTCGAATTGGCTTTTGGTTTGGTTGTTTTTAAATCATTTTTTGTATAATATGTAAAATGTTGCTAATCCATTTTTCTACCATATTGAGAATATGCTGCTTTATGTGATTAATGGAGGTATTATTACTTAATAGTTCAAAAATTATCTATAACCACGTGGTTCCGGATCCTTTTCCCTTGGGACCCCCTTGAGGCTGGGTTTTAAACATTGATTAAATGTTTTTAGTCTTTGGATATTAAATTGCGGGATCCCTAATCTTTCTACTTACCCCCTGCAATCCCTCAAGTAGGGTTAGGGTTCCCCTGTAACCCTTGGGTTTGGGATGTCACCTGTTCGTAACGATCTAATGTGGTGGGTGTGTGTTGTGTGTGTGTGGTGGTGTGTGGTGTGTGTGGTGTGTGTGTGTGCTGTGGTGTGTGTGGTGTGTGTGTCGTGTGTGTTGTGGTGTGGTGTGGTGTGTGTGTTGTGGTGTGTTGTGTGGTGTTGTTGTGTGTGGTGTGGTGTGGTGTGTGCGTGGTGGTTCGTGGTGTGGTGTGTGTGTGTGTGTGTGTGTGTGTGTGCTGTGGTGTGTGTGTAGGTGTTCCAGAGGAGGTGAAGGGATGGCCTCTGTGGATTTCCTTCAGAGGATGGAAGGAGTCATAAAGGATTGGGATCTGGAGTGGGAAGTTTTGGCTGGGGGAGAAAGGAGACGGAAAATCACGAAAATATTGAGATACCAAAACAAGAGAGATTTTGAATTTCACAAGTTTTTAAGTTTACATTGCAAATACTGCACAGAATTGTTAAAGGCAACCATAGGGGACCAGTGTGTCGTTTCTGTCAGATGCTCTAACACTCTTTTTCTTGACTTTTCGTCTGTCAGAAACTTTCTCATTCTTTGTTTTTGGTGTGTGGCATTCGTTTCACTCAAGATTTCAATATTTGATGGCTCAACTAAATCAGTCTTTCCAAATCCAGTACAGGTGCGCGCACTTTCTTTCCATGGCTTTGTATGGGCAAATATACATCTGTACTGGTCCATATACAGGAACTCAAAAGTCCGCTGCAAACTCTTTAATTCAAATGTTTACAAATAGGGTCATCAATTTTGACATTGTGCACGTTCAGATAATTTTTGAAACCCAAAATATTTTCCAAAAATCTTCGCCATCTTTTGACCAGTTGGAAAGCGACTGTGAAAACTTCCCTCTGCATGATTCATCCCAAACCCCTATGGACCAAGTCTACGTGCAGGATATTTCTGGCAGATTATTTGATCCTTTACACAAGGACATTTTCTCCTCAAAACTAAAATCTGAGCATTTTTTGAAACACTTATAAATTCGACAGGGAATATCTAAAATCGAAGGCCTGAGAAACCCATTTCCCATTAAGTGTGGGAAGATTAGGCAAAAACTTCTTCAACAAACCTGAGGGTGGGCTCCATTTTGTTCCTCTGTCACTGGTCAACTTTTATATGCTCAGGTTTATTCTGAAGCATTAGAAACATCCCAGGCGATCAATAACTTGGTGTTGACTCTGTGAGGCAAAGACGTAGATCTTATCTATCTACGAAGAAGAGGAACGAGTCTACAAATGAATAGACATGCCTGTAGAGGAAAACAACCGAACAAGAGGACCAACGTATCACGGAGGAAGTTGGAAATATGGGGATTTGAGTCCAAACATTGAAGATCGAAGCTGCCAAACCTTTGAGGCGCCTTTTAGGGTGCCTATAACCAATACAGCTTGTGAAAATTTTTAGAGTCTTTTTTATGTTCTCGGAATTTTCTTGATCATAAAAAACAATTTATAACAGTCAGTTAAGCTGGGCTGCTTTGTTCACATACCCAAGATGGGAACAAAACAAGGAATCCAGTCTAGGTAAGTCGATGTTTACAGCAGATACTATAAAAAGACATCTATCTCTTGTGAATGCTTGGACGTGGACATACTATCATACCACTCGCCCCACATCTCATCGGCAAGAGCGCATGACCCTGACTACTTGTGTAGATCGACTCAACTGCGATATGTGAACGGACCAGACGGATTGTGTCAGAGCGTTCGGCAGGAATACTGTCCACCCTTTTCGCGTTGGTTGAACGGAGAATAATACACTATGTAACACAACACTCTTACGATAAGTGAACGCGGGACCGATCATTACGACGGGCCTAAACACTTGCTTAGAGTATCAGGATCACCTCGGCACTATCACAATATCCTAATAGATTAGTACGAATACAAAAAATAAATATATATATAGGTTAAATTTTTTGGACTTTCACTGGAAGTTATAATAATATCAGTCCAACATCATAAAGCTACTTTAAAAACGTCACTTCGTTTTTTTGTATGTTTAAATGCCCAGTTGTTACATCAATTCCCATGGCCAGTTGTTGTGAAAAAAAACCCCACAAATTATTATTATTTGTGGACTTTCTTTAGACTGGAATATGTTGGAGTATTAGGCAACCGCATTTATTTTTGATGGATTTTCTTTTATGCAGGAAAGCAAGGGGAATAAAGGCGCATAGTATTTGGCCCCATAATGCCAAACAAAATTGCCACCTTCTGTCAGAAATATTTAAAAGTCAAATTTTAACCAGGGGCTCTTGATGTAAGCCTGTTATAGAGAAATATAATGCATAATACCGTTTAATTTGGTTTAATTGGGGGCATTTCATGGTTCTTCTGGGCTCGTATTTTGACGTACAACACTTTATAGGCTTATTGAAGGAAGCTGAACACTGAACTTCTAGGAACGCGCCAACAGAACCTGGGTCTGAAATAGCAGCGGGTTCACCCGTTAGAACATGAGATTGGGACAATCAGAGCATCCGGCGAAGGAAAGATCGAGACTTTCATGTTTTCTGGTTTCCCCTTTATCCCCTTTGTCTCTCTCCGTTACGTCTCGACGGGGGATCTCCTCTCAGTGTCATCACAAAGCCAGCGGTTCTTCTCCACCAAACGACCGAGCCTGGGCGCCTTCAGTCACCCCGCGGGTGTGCCATGTCCTTACCGAGCGGGTTGGTACAGAACTGCCACCGGAGGGCCCAACGCTCGCAACGGCGCGCGGTTACCGGCAGGGACATCCAATCCCAGGGGTACCCGTGTTTATGGCGCTAGTAATTAAAACAGTGGGTTGGTCGACGGGGCCAAAGTTTAAGAAATCGATACGTGGTGCCAGCATTTACTGGGTCCGTATTAAATTCCTCTGTTTAGGTTCGGTTACAATTTGGTGTAAAATCTTATAAATTCAATTTCGGGCTGTTTGGGGGATAGCCAAACTTGAATCTGCGCGGCGGCTTGAACAAGGAAGGAGTCTTGATTCTAATTGTCATCTTTGGGCACACGGCTCATTGGAGGATTCGAATTTTACGAGCAAGTTATGCACAGTCACACACATTTGCTTTGTCTCTTGTAAATAAGTGCTCTGTATTCAATTCGGGTGTATAACATTATGTTTCTAGATTAATCGATTTCGTTTTTGCGGTCTACTGAAAAAAGTGGAGAAAAAATTTACATCCCTACGTTTACTACGATATGGTAACAGCGTATAAGGGGGGACAATGTAGGTTGAAGAGACACAACACAAAAGAGAGACTATAGAAACAATTTAGGCTTTTTCTGAATGTTTGCGTGTAAGAACTTAGTTGGAACTGGTTAATCATATCTTTCTCCAATGGATTGATTGATTAGATGTGGACTAATTATTTGCAGCCCTAGCGGGCTTAAAGTGACCTGATGCACTTATATGTGACCGGACT